ATATTCTGTGCAGCCAGATGCTTCTAACCACCTCTTGGGTTGCAAAACTGCAAGAGACAAAGCTTAGCTTTGTGTTTCTGACCTCAGACTTGTGCCAGCTTGTCCTGTAGGCATACCCACACGGACTGAAGTGGTACTCCTCCCGCATTTCTGCTAACGTCCTGTTTCCTAAATCCTTTTATATTTAGTTTTAAAAAAATCATTCCTTAGTTTATTTTTCTATCTTTCTTGTTTTGTTTGTTTGTTTGTGTCATTTTTTTGGCTGGGAGGATATGTGGCTTTGGTTTTTCGAGACAGGGTTTCTCTGTGTAGCCTTGGCTGTTCTGAACTTGCTTTGTAGACCTGGCTGGCCTCAAACTCACAGAGATCCACCTGCCTCTGCCTCACTGAGTGCTAGGATTATAGGCATGTGCCGCCATGCCTGGCTAAAGATGTATTTATTTATTCAGCACCAGGAAACACACAGTGCTGAAGAGACAGGAAGAAGGCATTGTATCCCCACAACCGGAGTTGCAGATGGCTGTGGGCTGCCAGGTAGTGCTGGGAACTGAACCCAGGTCCTCTGAGCTCCCAGGGCTCCTAATCCCTGAGCCATCTCCCCCGTACATCTTTTTCTAAATGAGAGGAATAGTGATGATTTCGATCTTAATGACAATACAGATGAGGATTATATCATGTCCTCACATTAATCACTTTTTTTTTTTTTGCTATGACTCTTAGCTTACCCAAACCTTTATTTTACTTGAATTAAGTTTTTAGTCAAAACAAAACTCAAATTTTTCATTACCTTCATAAAGTAACTATCTTATTTGGAGAAAACACAATTTTTAGACCTAAAAGAATAGGTCAGAGATACAGAGTGTGGTGGCTCACAGCTGTAATCCCAGTGCTTGGGAGGCAGTGGCAGGCTGGTGGCTGTGAGTTCCAGGCCAGCCTGGTCTACAAAGCGAGTCCAGGACAGCCAGGGCTACACAGAGAAACCCTGTCTCAAAACAAAAAATAAAATAATAAAATAATATAGGTCAGAGATGTTTTTAAAGATTTTCTCTTTTTAAGATTTATTTTGAATTATGTGTGTACGTGTGTATTTGTACAGGCACATGTGCACACGTGTTACAGATGCTCACAGAGGCTGGGGCAGGCTGCCTGGTGTGGATGCTGGAAACTGATCTCGAGTCCTCTGCAAGGGCAGGACTCTTTCTTAACTGCTGAGTCGTGGCTCCAGTCCGGTCTCTATTTTAAACTGTCTAAAAGAGATCCATATTGTGGAGTACATTAATCTTAGGTGAGACTGGATGGGTTTAGGCTGGGATGACTGTAGACTGAATTTTTTGTTTGAGATCTAAACTCTTATAGATCAGAACAAAAGAACTACTACTTAAGCTATAGTGTGTGTGTGTGTGTGTGTGTGTGTGTGTGTGTGTGTGTGTGTGTTAGCAGTGGAGCCGCAGAAGTCAGCATCAGATGTCATTCCTTGGGAGCCACCTTAGTGTTTGAAACAGGGTCTCACTGATTAGCCTACAATGGCTGGCCACCATCTTCGGCTAGACTCTAGACTCTAGAAAGATCCTCCTGCCTCTGTCTTGCCCATGATAGAACCGTAAGTGCACATCATCAAGCCTGGCTCTTTTTATGTGGGTGCTAAGGGTTGAACTCTAGTCTTCAGGTCTGCATAGCAAGCATTTTACCAACAGAGCTGTAACACCCCAGCACTCTCGAAAGAATATTAACTGGATCCAACCTATTGGTTTACTATTGACATTTAAAATGTCAGGACAGAGCCCCCTAGCATACTCAGACCCTTGTCAGGACTACCCAATATTTAGATTGACAATTTTTATCCAAACTATGTAAAAACAGTATCCAATGGCAAAACATTGGTGAGGATGTTTTGTTGTTAATTAGTTAACTTTTAATGGTTTTTAATAAAAATTGGTCTAGAATCAAGAAACCTCTCGGGGAGTATAGGTGTTGGACTATAAATTTTAGGACAAACCCAATCTGTTGATAATAACTTTAATAGACATACTTTTAAAAATGATTAATGCTCAAGAATGGAATGTGAAATAAAACAGAAAGTGTGTAACTTGGGAGATCAGAGCTTAAGAACCTATGCTTCCCAAGTGAACCTTCAAGGTGTGTCCCATCCTGCAGTTGGTTTGGATTAGAAAACAATATTATATTTTACAATGAAAAAAGTAAATGAGCAATGTTACAAAATAACTCCATTGGAGTTCAGTTCCCTTTCTTACCTTTTTCTTTCCTTTCTTTTTATTTTTTAATTTTTAGTTGGTTTGTTTTTACAAATATCTCATGTAGCCTAGGCTGGCCTTGAACCTACTATCTAGTTCAAGGATGAACTTTACCTTTTGATCCTCCTGCCTCCACCTCCCAAATGCTGAGAAGGTTGCATTCCATTTTTTTTAATATATAAAATAAGAAATGAAAACAGGAAATAGTGGAAAATGCCTTTAATTTCAGCATTCAGGAGGCAGAGCCTGGTCGATCTCTGAGTTTGAGGCCAGCCTGGTCTACAGAGTGAGTTTCAGTGAGTTTCTGTGTAGCCTGGCTACACAGAAAAGCTTTGTCTCAAAAAACAAACAAATAAATTTGGTTATGCAAACAAAATCTATGGAATACTTATTTCCTACACAGCTGGCCTTTTATTTTTACACATATTCTAATAATATTTAAAACATGTAGAAAATTCAATTTTTTTTTTTAATGCAAAATGGTGTAACATTGCATCTTCAGCATTGTGAGTATTCATTTACTTCTCTAACCTGGAATGTAGGTAATAGGACAGACCAAATTGTTATGCACAAATAAAAGTTACAGTAATTCAAATACAAATGGCCCAATCTTCTCTAGAATTAGAGCTAACTGATCCATGTGAGGCGATAGGTACAGAATCAAAGATGAGAAACTAAGATTAGAAGATACAGCTCAAGTTCAGAATAAAGAGAAAAATATACACAATAACCACTTTTATTCATCTTTAATGTAGAGTTGCTAGCCAGTAATATACAATAAGAAGAAAAAAGAAAGGATCAACGAAGGAAATATAACTGTAATTGTTTGCAAACTGTGTGAATGTCTACATAGATAACCCAAAAGGATCTATAAATAAAATATCAAAAATAACACATAAGACCAAGGAAGCTTATATAAAATCAATATATAATGGTAAATTTACAAATAAAGTATCAAAAAAACCCAAATAAGATCAAGGTAGCTTATAAAAGATCAATATATAAAAGTAAGTTTATTTTATACACAGAAATATGAAAACATATTAGTAGTAAAATCAAAAAGAAAATCCTTATAATCTGATTGGCCTGTTCTCTCACCTCCCCCTGAGGAGAGAGCAGCCTTACCAGGCTACAGAAGATGACAACACAGCCATTCCTGATGTGATCTGATAGACTAAGATCAGAAGGAAGGAGAGGAGGACCTCCCCTATCAGTGGACTTGGGGAGGGGCATGCGTGAAGAAGGGAGAGGGAGGATGGGACCGGGAGGGAAGGAGGAAGGGGTTTATGGGGGGAAACAAAGTGAATAAACTGTAATTAATAAAAATAAATAAATTAAAAAAAAAAGAAAATCCTTACCAGCATTTTTAACAAAGTTAATAACCCAATGAGCAGGACTCCAATGAGAAGCAGATTTTGTCCTCTAAAAGTTCACGAAGCTCAGAGAACACTGAACCTTCACCTTCGTTAGGGTTACCAGACACACTGGTGGGGTAGTGGGTGGACAGTTACAGCAAGGTGCCCGCCAAGGTGGTTAGTAAATGCTTTGAATTATGACTTTCTTTTGTTCTGTGGCTATAAAAGATTATAAAACCACGTCTATGTCAGAGCATGTTATTTTGGGACAACCTGAATTCACACTTCTGGACCATAGCTACTGGCATTTGGTTCAGAATCAACTTTTTTTTTTTTTGAGGTGAAAGTTGTATTTTTGTATATTAGGAGACATTCTTTGTGCCCTTCTAACAGTCAGAATTCTACTGGCATCGTTCCTCTATTTGCCAGTGTGGATAGACCAGTGTGTGTCGCAGAGAAAGACTGCACACGTGGAGAGAATTAAACACACAACAGTAGCATATGTTGGAAGAGGAATTAATGGGAATGAATTTTTAATCCTTGCACTTTTCATAAAATGTACAAAGATATCAACTATGTTGATTTTTATAAATGCTTATTGCACTCATAAGAAGATAATGGTTAGGTCTGGCTAGCTGCTGAAAAGAAGAGGAAAAAAAGGCTCTGAAAAACAAAACAAAACAAAAAGACTATCAGGCAGTGTAGAACAAATATTCCCTTCTTCCTCTCCCAGAATAAAGCGGCTCGCTGATGCTGTGTCCAAGGATCCAGCTTCTCCCTGTAATAGGGTCTCTCATCCATGGGGCCTCCAGGTTCTCCCTGGGTTGTCTGTGTCTTGACGTGGGCGAGGGAGAGAGAGATGGAGGAGAAAGAGAGAGAAAGATTATTCAAGGTGGCCAGGCGTTTGGGAGGCTTCGACAAAGCAAAGATACACAGGTAAGTCTGTTTGTATGCACATGTAATAAATCAATCAAAACCAGGTCAGAACGTAGAGGAAACGCTGCTTCCGGTCCACTCTACTTCCCTGAAAGGCTCTGCAAGCTCCCCAGCCTCAGCTGAGTAAATACAAAATGCAGGCTGCAACTCAATTGGCTACTGATGACATGGGGCAACTTCAGAAAGCGCCGCCAGACCAGCGCTTTTCATAACTGGTGGGTGTAGTCGTTCACCCTTTCAGTGCTAGCACCACAGCAGGCGGGAAATAAGTCAGTTTCTGAGGCTGTCCTAGGCTGGGAGACCAGGGACCCGAGAGTCTTGGCCCCGCCCAGCAGTGCCACGCCCACTCTCTCTCCCAGGCTGGAGGCGCGGTCGCCTAGCAGCAGGTGTTAGAGTCCTTGACAGCCTCTCTCCGCTAGAACGGCTAGAACGCAGAACGCAGAACGCAGAACGCAGAACGCAGCACCATGCCCAAGGAAGCGGTGGTGACTTTGCGCTACGGGCCCTACAGCGCAGTGGGGCTGTCGGTGGAGCACCGCACCTACCGCCTGGAGGGTCTGCAAGGTGGGCCACCCGGCTGAGCGCCTCTGCTGAGCCTCAGCCTCCCAGACGCGGGCTGCGTCCTCTACCTAGAGCCCAGCCAGGGGCCACCTTTCCCCGGAAGCCTTTTCCGGGATGACGTTAGCGTATCCCTCCAGCCCCCCTTACCTGGGTATAAAACTGAAAATGAGCATGGTCCGTGGGCACCGAGTGTTCCCAGGCAAAATACACAAAGTTGTTAGCTCATCCCACGTTAGGATCTGGGAAGTCTGAAGTCAGAAATAGTAAGTGGCCTTTGTAAGTCAACTGGCTGCAGGGTGACAGGGCTGAGATCCTGTCCCTTGCTTGTTCGTTTCTGCTGCAAGGCCCTCGTTTGTACATAGACTCAGGCAGACGGGCTCACTGTTGAACAGGATGTGTGAAGGAGAATGTTGCTTACTCGGGTCATGCCTGAAGCCTGACAGACTAGAGCCAAATGCTCTAAAAGTCCAGAGGACACAAAAATCAGCTTTGGTCCAGCAATCGGGGATGACTTTCTGGAGGAGGTGGTATTTGAAGTTCCCACCTGAAGAAGTATGGATACTGTTACCAAAAAAAAGTTGCTTTCTCTAAGAAAATAGTTCACTGAGAGGCTTTTGTGGCAAGTCCCATAATGTCTGTCTGTGCTAGTAACTGTATGTCAGCTTGACACAAACTACAGGTGTCTGGGGGAGGGCACTCTTAATTGAGATAAGGCCTCTATAAGATTGGCTTGTAGGCAAGTCTATAGTACATTTTCTTAACCAGTTATTGATGTGGAAAGTCCCAGCCCATTGTGAGTGGTGCCGCCCGTGGTCTTCTGGTGGTCCTGGGTGCTGTAAGAGAGCAGATGAACAAGTTACAAGGAGCAAGCCCCTAAGCAGCACCCCTCCATAGCCAATCCGTCAGGTCCTGCCTCCAGGTTCTTGCCCTGACTTCCTCCAGTGATGGCTGGGATACAGAAGTATAAGCAGAAATAAACCCTCTCCTCCCTAAGTTGCTTTTGGTCATGGTGTTTCATCACAGCACTAGAAAGCTCAGACAGCACTGATCTTAGGTTTGTTTCAGCTGCCAGAGTCAAATGCTACAGGCTATGTGCCCTGGGCAATAGAAGTCATATTCCCTTCCAGGCTGGAGGCTGGCACCCTGTCTAGGCAGAGCTGATTTCCGGTGAAGCTCTCTTCCTAGCTTGCTGACGGCTGTTTTCTCTCTTGCCTTTGGGTACTGAGAAGATGGATTAGGGGGCAAACACTAAAGACTCATCTCAGAGAGACACTCACCCTCTTTTTACATCTTTAAATAGTATTTTCTTACTTCTCTTTGAACATATTTCGACCACCCTCCCTCCCTCCAGCCCCACCCCCAGCCTCCCTACTCACTCACTTTCATGCACTCTTTTCTTCTTTTTAACTACATATAGTTAACCTTGTGCTTCCCAGGTACTCTTGGGTGTGAGCCTATCTCTTGGAGCATGACAAACCTACCAGGAGTCACACCCTTAAAGAAAATGATTCTTCCTGTCCCAGCAGCAATTAACTGCCAATAGCTTCTTGGCTAGGGGTGGGACTTCCTGTCCATCCCCCCTCTCCATGCTGGGGTTTTTTCTGGTATGAGCTTTTACACGCCATTACAACTGCTGTGAGTTCATACGTGCAACTGTTCCGTTGTATCAAAAAACAGTCTCACTGTAGTCATCTACCACCTCTGCTTACGATCGTTCTGCCCCTCTCTTCCACGGCAATTCCCTGAGACTCGGCAATAGGGAGCGTGACATCCGTGTCTCATTTAGGGCTGGGCACTACTGGCCAGCTTTTGAAGTGATGGAGGTTGCTATGGAGAAAAGTAGTTGTCAATGTTACCCAGCTGTGAACCTTGAGAGATGCAAAATGTCTGGCCTGGCAAAATAGTGCCCACTGCCACAATAGTGGCACATATGTCATGGGAACAACTAAAGATTTTCTGACTGGATTTAGAAGATGTGCTACAAGTTGGAACCCCAGATTTGTGCCAGCTTGTCCTGTGGGCATATTCACATGGAGAGCTCTTCTCAGAGAGACATCGTGGGGTAGGCAGGCTGTAAGCTCTAAAGATGAACCTGCTGCTATGCTTCTGCTAAATGGACAAAGTATTAAACCAACTTCCAAAGACTTATTAATATACGCATAGATTAGTGTGTCTCTTGGCTCTCATAAGAGAAGCTTTTTCTTGCAATAGATTGGCCATTAACAGAGACACAACTGAAAAATGTACAGAGAATAAGAAACCTTTCAAACCAGGGGCTCCCTATGACTTCATTTAATCTTATGTCCTAAAGAGTTAGGACTTCAACATACAAACTAAGGACATTACAATTTGGTCCATAGCAGCATTATTTTTCAACATTAAGTAAAGATCACAATATCATAGAACCATCATTATTCTTTTTCCATCCTAAACAATAACTCCATTTAGTATAGTAACTCCAACCTCCCACCACTAGACTTGATGTACTTTAATCAACATTCCATCCCTGTCCACCTGAATTTAATATACATAAAATCTGCTTCTAGACCTCACTGTTGCCAGGGAGAGGGCATTAGCAAAGGAAAAGCATAGGGGTCTGAAGTTGAGCTAACCCAGTTTTGACCTGGCCTCTACTACTCGTGGACGTATAACAAAGTCAAAAATCAAGCTGTTTTTTGTTTTGTTTTGTTTTGTTTTTTTCTTTATGAGTCTCACTTTTCTTATTGGAAAAGGAGAATGTGAACCCCTCACTGGTGTGAGTCTGATGAGAAATGCATAGAGGCCATAAGCAGCATGCCACACGTGGCAAGGAATTATTCCAGAGACAGCCATTAGGAAAGAAAGAGGGGTCTCTCAGGACATTTGAGGAATGGCAAGCAGCTCAGTCTGGTAGAGGACGGCGTATAGCAAGAGAGTTGGGTTTGGTTTGCCCTGTGCCTTAAGGAGTCAGCAAAAGTGCCTAGGTGAAAAACTGTGAGTTAACCGGGCTGGGGTGGCACACGCCTTTAGTCCCATCACTCGGGACTGAAGCAGGTAGACCTGAGTTCAAGGCCAGCCTGGTCTACAGAGCTAATTCCAGAACAGCAAGGGCTACACAGAGAAACTCTGTCTCAAAAAACAATAAATAAGTAAATAAATACCAACCATGATTTGTTAAGGTCCAATTCTGAAGGAAGTAGTTGGAAATGGAGGACATTGAATTATTAAGAGATAGCAAACCAGTGTGTAGAAATCATGTTCTAGAATGTAGAAGAAATGCCGACAGGAATGATTCTAACTGTAAGCGCGATCTGGACACTGATGACATTCAATGCCTACTTTCTCCCTACTTTCTGCCTCGGGTCCTGGCTGCTCTCTTTTTGCCATCACTTCAGCCAGAGCCTTGCATTCATTTCTTACTCCTCCCTCTCTTACAGCTACTGCTCAGCCTGTCAGTCCTTCCTGCGGTCTTTGTCCTCAGGGCACGCCCCAATTCATTCTTCTTAGTCTGTTAGCCTTCCTCCTCCATTTATGTCCAGTCACCATCATTCTCTGCTTCAGCTGTGTCAAGCCTCAGCTCTGTGCGACCACAGTCGTCTCCTTGTAGTCTGTCCTCAGAACCAGAGCAGGGTCAGAACAGGCATTCATTCCTGGATGACCTGGTGACTCCCGCCTCACTAGGGATAGAAGCCAAAGACCTTCCAAGGCCACAGGGCTCCTTGGGACTCCCTTGACCTCCTTACACATCCACTCCAGCCATACCCACGTCCTCATTGACCATGGAACTGTCCAGGGATCCCGGGAGATTACACCTGGGGTTCAGCAGGAACTACACCTGGGATGCCTTTTCCACATGATCTTCCCTGCCCTCCCTCAGCCTTCAGGTTATCAGCCCCGAAAGTCACCGCCATGGACAAGACTTCCTGGAGTACTGTGTGTGTGTGTGTGTGTGTGTGTGTGTGTGTGTGTGTGTGTGCGCACGCGTGCGCCTTGTACACATGCTGACACTCATTTGTGGAGGTCAAGGGATAAATTGCTGGAGTGGGTTTTCTCTTTCCACTAGGTGGGTACTGGGTGTCAAACTGTGGTTGAAAAGCTTGAGAACACATGCCTTTACCCACTGATCCCTCTCAGCAGCTCTGTCCTCTTCCTTCTGTACTCCCTCCCCTCCTCCTTTAGCCCTTCTTAGTGTTTATAGGCACCTGCCACAGCCCCGATCTTCCTCCTCACCTCATATACACTTGGATGTAATCTTCAGAGTTGCCTGTCTGTCCTGTTCCCTGCGGGGTCCCATTTCCTAGGACTGTATCTGCTATGTGGGAAATGTCACAAGACTTTTCCTGGGGAGATGTGAACAAAAATCTATTCACCCCAGATGGGGCACTAACAGCAAACCAAAGGAAGGATCCCACCCAAGTCTAGCTTATAGAGCTAGTAGGTTTATTGGAATTACCTGCTTACAGGAACATGAGCGCTTCAAGAGCATCTCAGGAAAGCCTGCCCTGGTGCGGGTGATGACTCACAAAAGCTTACTTGTAGCTCTCTTGAAGTTTCTCCTCTCTCCCAGTCATGATCTTGAAAGTGGAGGCTTCTGACAATGCAACTTCGAAACCTCCCAAGAGGGAAGGTATCACATTTGAGGACAGAGCCACATGCTGGAGGGAGACTGGAGGAAGCGGAAGAGATGGAGCCAGGCAGCCGGCAGAGGTGTTGCCTAAGAACAAAGTGCTAGGGGACAGGATGGGCACAGAAGGCATGTGAGACAGGATTTCAGAAGAAGCGGATCCCAAACTTGTTGAGCTGGAGCTATCCGCAGAGAGAGAAGCATTTACAGCTGCCGGTTGTGAAAGGATTAGAGAACGAACATCCTCGTATGTCTCCAAGTGGAAGACAAATGGGACAGTGAGCTTGGAGGGTAACATGGAAGTGTCTATAAAATGTAACCCACACGACAGAAACCAAATGTTTTGTTTCCAGGTGCCTTCTTTACTGGAAGAAAAAAGACTACACATAACACAGGTGGCATAGTACCAGTGTTTTCCGAAACATTCTTGGTGAAAGGGGGAAAAAATGGAAACAACCAGAAACGGCAATGGCTCTGTAAACCGCAGCACATCTGTCATGTGACATGGGAGGCCCGGGTTGGCTGAGCACAGCAGCACGCAGGGGTACAGTCTCTCCCTGAGTCCCCTGCACACCAAGATCTCTCTTCGCTTAAACGGGCAGATAATGGAAGATGAATGTAGGGTAGAAATAGGGTGTTTTAGAAATATTTTTATTCTTTTTCTTTTCTATAATTTCTAATGTTTTTGCAGAATCACAAATCTGCTTTACATGTATAATCTGAAAATATTTTTGATGGTTTTTTCTTTTCAGCAAAAATGTCCTAAAGGAAGGTAGAAACAAAGACCCATCGTGCACATCTATAACCCTGGCACTTGGAAAGTAGAGGGTGGAGGATTAGGAATTCAAGTCATCCTGGGCTACTTGAAGCTCTGGAGAGGGGGAGAACAAAGAAAGGGAAGGTGGAGGATGAGCCAGGGGGCTCACCTGAATCCCAGCACTCAAGAAGCTGAGGCAGGTGGACCATGACGGCCAGTCTGGGCTACTCAACAAGACCTTGCCACTACCCATGCCCTCCTCCCCCAAAAAAGCAAGAAAGGAGGGTTGGGGAAAGGAAGGGTAGAGGAAGGAGAGGGAAAGGAAAGAAAGTAGAGAACACAGACATGGGTCAGGGAGGAATGGACAAGGTGGAGCCAGAAGCTGAGCTGAGCCACAGGTACAGGCTAATGGTCCCTCTTGGGGAAGGAGGAATATTTTGAGGCAAAATGCTGGGGAGCATTTTGATGGCTGGCAAGGTTTGTAAGGTGTCTGCAGGTGGCTGATTTGTGAAGTAAGATGTGTGCACTCATGCTTGATAACGCATCTAATAAGTGCTGCCAACATTTACAGAGGACCCTGTGATGAGGGCCAAGGTGTTAAGAGCAACAACGCAGGAAACATTTACTCACCTTCCCCTCCCCTCCCCTGGCTCTCCCACTTTAGACCCAGTATTAACACTGGAGCAAGCAGATCTACTTGCAGGCCCTCCTCCGTAAAAAATCTGCTTCTGAATTCTGCGTATGACTTTTAAAAATCATCGCCCTTTATTGTTTCCCGAAGCCCTGCTGTCTTTGGAAGGATGCCTGATCTTTTCTAAGTGCACCATGCCCTAAGCAATTGGAACACTCTTGTTCAATATTATCCATGAATTATAATAGCTCAGCAAAATAACGTTTCCACTAAACGACTGCTTTAAAGAGCCCTAAGTAATTGCCCTGGCCACAGTTGCTCCTTGTCTATCTGCTGTACCTGAGCCTGCCAAACAATCCCCTCAAAGGAACTGGAAGGTGCTGGAACTGACCATTAGAAACGGAATCCATCTTTATTCAGTCAAGGCACCCAATTGCCATTCTTCCATCTCCAGTGATGTCCTAGCTGCTCTCGTTAATGGTCCCTGGATTGTGTCTCCCCTGAGCAAAGGAAGGAAAGCAATCTGTCAGTGTATCTCACCTTCCTACCTAGCAGCATTTGCATCATCCACAGATGGTACACAGCACTGCCAGCTCAAAGGACAGAGCTTTTCCCCTGCCCCTCCACTTTGCCCAGACCTCCCGTGAAGAATGAGGTGCCACTTCAAAGAGGTGGGTGTTCTGCGGGCGGCTTACCGCTTCCGGCTGATTTATGCTGGAGTTTAGCCACTGCCTGAGCACAGACTTTGTTTGGGGGAACATATCTATCTGACCTTTCTTTGAATAGACAACCCAGGAGCAACTCAGGAAACCATGCCCCCCGCCCCCAGTGCCGAGTGGTGGCATTTGGGTGAGCTGCAGGAATCCCAGGGTGTCTTCTCTCATCCCTTCAGCCTGCCCCAGCTGCGCCTCGCTACCTCCTCTCTGACAGGAAGGGAATGACGTCCTGAGGCTCACAGGGTGACAGACTCCGCAGCACTTGTCACCTGAGTACAAATCAGACAGGAAATCAAGAGCCACAAGGGAAGTTGGTGGCACTCAGCATCACTGTAATTGCTGCTTTGGAAGCCTGTGTTGACCCCGGGTGCCTGGAGGAAGATCAAGAGGCCCACCCTTAAAGAGCTCAGGGGCCTGTGCAAGGCAGCCCTAGACAGAGAGAGGATCCCTTCTTGTCTGCTTCACTTGCTCACAGGAGCCCTCAGGATTCACCTCTCGGCTCCATGGGGTAGCTTATTTTGCAGATCAAATCCATTTTCAACTACACCTTGTCATGTAAGAGTAACAGTGTCATTAAAGATACCCTAAATCCAGGTGTGACTTGAGTACCAGTCAGATGGGCCTTTCAGGGGACGAGTCTTGGGGAGCTGGGAAGTGCTTACCTCCTGAGGTCTCTGTCTGGACCTCTTGCCTGATCCTTGTATCCTCGGTTTCTCAGAGCCCCTTAAGCCTTAGAAAGCTGGCCTTGGGTGTTTGGAGCAGAGTGACAGCTAGGCTCCAAAGCTGTCCCTGTCAGATTCCATGCAAAACCTAAGGTCCTAGAGGCCACAGGGCACCTCCCCACCTGTAGCTACTTCCTGTTGAGGAGAGGGGTGCTATGGGCAGGGGACGCTGAAGCCAGAAATCTCTACTGATGTCATGTCTCCCTAGATGATGAACTGCCTTCCAAACCAGCTGGATCACTTCCACTTAAACAAGTCACTGGTCCAAGCTGAGTGCCCTCTTCAAAGATATTTAAGATCAAGACACTAAAACAGGATACAATAGCACAAATATGCCAAAGAAACATGCGGGCGTTCTTTGGAGAAAGGCATTAGCCGAGGCAGGTCTATTAGGGCCACCACCAGGCGCCTGAGGAGCATGAGCGTGTTAATGGGACCCTCACTGAGCCTTTCTCAAGTTTCTTTCCAAAAGTGAAATCAAAATTATGCAATTAAAAGGCTCACAGCCGGAGCCGGATGTTCTCGAGCTGATTGAACGATGAAGAAGTGGACACAACAACATTGTGAAACAGTGATTGTCTCTGTAATTAAATGCAATTAAGTGACAGAAATGTCTGCTTTTCCCCTCCTAAAACTATTGGAATGCTAAGACTTTAAGAAAACGCGGCCCTATCTGATGTCTTCTTCCTTCTAACCCAAATACTCAGCCGAGCACACAGACCGCTAAAGGTGACCACCAGCTCTAGGATGGATGGGGGATGGGGCACGTCGGGGGTGGGGAGTAGCTGTCTAGGCTGCCATGCATGATAACCACAGACAAGAGACAGATAGGATGGGCTGTAGTGGATACTTGCCTAGCATGCCTAAGACCTCAGTTCCATCATCAGCAGGGGAGGGAGGAGTAAGTCTTCACAAATTACCTGTGGCTGACCTCTAGGTAGGAGCCACTGGTAAATGATAAGCAAGCCACAGACTCAAAAGTGAGAGGAACAAATCCGTTTTCTTCTTTAAAGTTTTCTCTCTCTCTTTCTTCTTTGGGACAGGCTCTCATTTTGTGTCTCAGGCTGGCCTCTAACTATCCTTCTGCCCCTGTCTCCCTAAGAGCTGGTATTATAAGTGTGCTACCACAAACAGCTTATTTTATTTATTTATTTATTTATTTATTTATTTATTTATTTATTTATTTATTTTCCCTTTTCTTTCTTTCTGTTTTGGTTATTTGTTTTGTTTTGCTTTGTTTTTCAAGACAGGGTTTCTCTGTTTTAGTCCTGTCCTGGAACTCATTCTATAGACCAGGCTGGCCTCGAACTCACAGAGATCTGCCTGCCTCTGCCTCCTGAATGCTGGGATTAAAGGGGTGCGCAATGATGTCCAGCTATAGCTCTTATTTCTTACAAACATATTTTAATGAATATGTAGCATATGCTTTTGTTTTTTATCACAAGTATTACTTTCTTTTTTAAAGTTCCTTTTTAAAAATTTTACAAGTGGGGTTTCTCTGTATAGCGATGGCTGTCTTAGAACTTGCTCTGCAAACCAGGCTGGCCTTGAGCTCAGAGGTCAGCCCGCTTCTGCCTCCTGAGTGCTGGGCTTAAAGGTGCACACCACCACTGCCTGGCTAACTCAGGGTTCTTCACCTAGGCACCTTTGCTGACTCCTTGATGTCAAGTGTAAAGCAAACCCAACTCTCTTGCTTATATGCCATCCTCTACCAGACTGACCTGACATTCCTCAAATGTCCTGAGATACCCCCCCCCCCCCCCCCCCATTGCCTGGCTAAGTTCCTATTTTTCCACATGTATTTATATGCTGTGTGTGAGTCTGTTTGTGTATACATCATGACACATGCTTGGTTTTTCTCCTTCCGCTATGTGGGTGTCAAGGATTGAATTCAAGTCGTAAGTCTTGGTAGCAAGCCCCTTACCCAATGAGCCGCCTCAGCAGCCTACAACTTTAAATTTCCAAATCAAATTCTCATTATGTACACATAGCACTGTTCGCTTAGTCACCCTTTTATTATCACATCTGTGAATTGTTCACAGAATTTCAGTATTATAGAACAAAAAAGTCTTATTACAAAAATCTGCCTGTATTTCTGATTTTTTTTTTCTTACAGGGTTTCTTCTAAGTACAATGCTTTTGAAGTATGTTTTTGAAGGTTTGGGCTTATGCTATAAATTTCCCTCTAGAGAGACACTGAAGTTGCATTTCCATCAGCAGGAAAAGAAGTTTCTGGATCCTGGGTTTCCCCCAATACCGAGCACTGTCTCTCTGAGACTAAAGTGTGGGTCACTCTGTGGCCACTCCCAAGAGACAGGTGATTTCCTAACAGGTCTGGAGTAACTCACAAGCAAGAGCGTGTCACTTAGGTGTCTGCCATTGCTTTCCTGAGGCTATAAGGACACCCAGAGGCTGGGAACTAGCCAGGTGCCCACCAGGTGCTTAGCTTATAACCAAGAACAACCAAGGAGGAGACGTCCATGAGGGAGTAGACACAGGCTAGCCTGGAGTCTGCCCCGGGTCACCCACACCCCTCTCTACTTTCCAGCTGTGTTGATAGAAGATGGACATCAAGTCATCCTGGAGCAGATAGAAGACTGGAATCTGGTAGAGCTTGTGGTAAATGAAGAAATAGTCTTCCAGTGTGACATCGAAGACCTGGAGTTTGGTAAGGTGAAGGGAGGTCCCGCCCAGCACCCCGCCTCCTCTAAGACTTCCCTTTGTTTCCAGTGGAAGTGGCAGTAAGCCACGCCTGGAATCAAATCGGAGTTCATTCAGCATTTCAAATGCACAGCAAGAGCCCTGTTGCCTGTGACAAATGCTCTCCTGCATGCACTCGAGTGCATGTATGTGCTTACACACACCACACACAAATCACGTAACACACATACCATACACACATAAACATACACATACACCACGCGCACAGACACACAGTGCGGTGCTCTAATGCCCAGCTTCTTCCCCAAACACTGGAGACAGAAGAGGAAAGAAACAAAGTTGATGCCGGCCTTCAGATGGGTATTGCAACTGGAAAAAAAAATAAGGTTTTGCGTCTAGTTTCTCTTTTTTCACTTTACTATCTGTGTTTTATTATTATCTTCTTTCAAAGTGATTTTTGTTCTATTTGTCTTCTTCATCTGGATTTCTGAGACAGTTAGAGTCAGTGTACCCACAGAATATGGCATTATCAGCTATATTCTGCACATGTCTTTGCCCTGAAGTGATTCTGGCCCCATAGGCTGACCTGCATGTCTGCTTCCTGGTGCCTAAGCGCAAGAGCTTCAGGAATCCACTAAGACTCTGCTGAAGGCTACTTAACATTTTACATGCCTGGAGCCTTTAAAAATATACTCCCGGTGGAAGTCCAAGGCATATTTAATATTACATCAACTTGTACATAAAGTTGGCCAAAAGGTGTTATTTGTTTCCCTAGGGGGTGATGGTAGACTAGACCCACTGTGTGAAGAGGCCAGGATCGCTGTGCTATATGCCTTCTGATTTCGTGGAGCAGATAGAAGAAAGCCAGCTATGCCCTCCAGTCTACAATAACAGCAAAGGGGGCTTACTGGGCACAGGAATGCTGGGCTCTGCTTGTTAGAACATGGCAATGCCTCATGTCCTCTAGTCTGTACAGTTTGAGTTTCTATTCTGGCTGCATAGACATCCATAAAAAAAATAATAAAAACCACCTCGCTGGCCGCGTCTCTCAGTATCAGCCCATGGGAGAGCCCTTCAATATCAGGTGCAGTGGATCTGAATTAAAAAAACCAAACGCAATCTAATAACAGAGGACCATTCCCTAATAAAGCACCATTGCCAGAAGCTTTAGATACGCCATTGTGAAGCAAGCCAGGAAAAAGGGATCGGTGAAATTAAAGAGCACCCGAGCAGGGGGAGAACTAAGCACATGCCATTGCAGTATTAGGAAACCTGACTGTCTCACAGGTTTACTTCTTACGCCTACTGGAATACATTTTTAATTGCTGGTATAAAATTAGGTGAAATCAAATCTTCCCTTGCCCTGTTGCAAACAAGAAAGGCATCTGCCTTCTTTTGCATTAGCAAGTTCAGCAGGATGCTCTGAAGGAGGCAGGGCAGTCTAGGGCACCCTAGAGTAGCTCTTGGGCTTTCTGGTGGAGAACATAGCCTCATAGAAAGGAGCTTTCATGACAGGCAATGTAAAAAAAAAAAGTCAGTGTGCTGAAATGATGCGTGTTTGTTTTTCCAAGTCCTATGCTGTGTGTGTGTGAGAGAGAGAGAGAGAGATACGAATATATACATAAAAATTCTTATAAGGGTATATATATTCTTAACTATAAAGACAAAGCAAGAAAAAAAAAACAGACACCATTGTATGAGATTGTTTGAAACAGGCCTCTCACCCTTTAGAAGACCCAATGGAAGTCAGGAGGTTATACAGAAAGAAAGGCACTTTCATACCCTGCAAAGAACCTACACCACCTGGAAATCTGTCCTTCCCACCACCCCAGGAAGCCTCAGGTCCCCCCCACCCGCCCCATATCTCCAAACTACAAAAGGCCAATAGAGACTCCATGTGCTGACTTAGAGCCTTGGCCCAAGATTTTTCTGTCAGAGTTGATCCAAATTACAAATCAGTCACAGAACTATTTAATCATCCCCTTAGTAAAAACAACCAGGCTCAGGTCCACCCCATGCATGCTCTCTGGTTGGTGGTTCAGTCTCTGCCAGCCCCTATGGGCTCAGGTTAGTTGATTCTGTAGGTTTTCTTGAAGTGTCCTTGACTTCTCTGGCACTTTCAACTCTTCCTTCTCCTTTTCCACAAGATTCCTGGAGACCCGCCTAGTGTTTGGCTGTGGGTCTCTGCGTCTGTTTTCGCCAGCTGCTGGGGGAAGGCACTCAGGTGAGAGTTATGCCAGCCTCTTGTGTGCGAGTGTGGCAGACTATTACCAACAGTCTCATGGCGTGAGACTCGAGTTGGGCCAGTCACTGGTTGGCCGTTCCCTCACTTTCTGCTCCCTCTTTACCCCTGCGCCTCTTCTAAGAGGGAACATTCGTGGGCTGAAGGTTTTGTGCTATGTTGGTACCTTCATCCCTCCACTGGAAGTCTTGCCTGGTTACAGGAGGTGACTGTTCCATGATCCATATCCCCATTTCTAGGAGTCGTAGCTAGGGTCACCCTCATAGATTCCTGAGAGTTTCCATTGTCCTAGATTTCTAGCTGAACCCAGAGATACACACCCACTGTCACTCATTCCAGTTTTCTCTCCTGCCTCCCTCCCCACACTTGATCCCTCCTGTTCTCTTCCCCACCCCCTCTTCCGCCCAGATCCCTCCCTCCATTCACCCCAGAAGTCTATTTTATTTCCCCTTCGAAGTGTGATTCAAGCATCCTTCCTTAGGCCCTACTTGCTGCTTATCTTCTTTGGGTCTGTGGACTGTAGCATGGTTGTCCTGTACTTTATGGCTAATATCCATTTATAAGTGAGTATATATCGTCTTTGTCTTTCTGGGTCTGGGTTACCTCACTCAGGATGATCTTTTCTAGTTCCATCCGCTTGCCTGCAAATTTCATGTTATTATTTTTAATAGTTGAGTAAATGCACCATATTTTCTTCATCCATTCTTCAGTTGAGGGACACCTAAATTGTTCCCAGTTTCTGGCTATTACAAAATGAAGCTGTTAAGAACATAGTTGAGCAAGTGTTCTCGTGGCATGTATGGGATGGACCTAGGGCCCCTACACATATGTAACAGATGTGTAGCTTGGTTTTCTAACAGCAGATCTCTGACAGCAGGAGGAGGGACTGTCTCTTACTCTGTTGCTTGCCTTTTGCTCTTTCTCCTAACTGCACGGCCTTGTCTAGCCTCAGGTGAAGAAGATATACCCAGTCCTTCTACAACTTGATATGCCAAGGAGGGTTGATATCCATGGAAGGTCTCCCCTTCTCTGAGGAGAAAGGGAGGGAGAATAGGGGAGGGGAGAGGGAGGGACTGGGAGGAGAGAAGAAAGGGGAAGCTCCAGTCAGAATGTAAAGTAAACTAATTGATTGATTGATTAATAAAAATAAACCCAGGCTCCAGTAGAGTTGCCTTTCAGTGTCTGGCATTGTTTTTTTTTTAACAGTTCCTTAGTCCCTTTTGTCAGAGGGACTTCACTTACAAAATATGTAGCATTTTTAAAAAATATTTATTTATTTATTTATTTATTTATTATGTATACAGTGTTCTGCCTGCATGTACTCCTGCACACCAGAAGAGGGCACCAGATCTCATTATAGATGATTGTGAGCCACCATGTGGTTGCTGGGAATTGAACTCAGAACCTTTGGAAGAGCAGTCAGTGCTCTTAACCTCTGAGCCATCTCTCCAGCCCCAATATGTAGCATTTTATCTTTGTCTCAATATATAATTTTAGAGGAACATGTTTTCACTAAAGCACTATGAAAAATACAAAGTAATGATAGAGTAGAAATTCAACATCATTTTGGTATATTTCACGTTTGAGTTTCTTCTATTTAGGTCTAGATAGTCACAGAAATGAACATACACAGAACTTGACTTTGCCTGGTCCTACATGTATTTCCTTCTCTTACCTTAGTGTCCTATATGGAGCATGTCCTATGTGGCTGAGCATTTACTAAGTGTCTGAGTATTGTGCCTAAAGCAGGGAAGTTCTTTGTCTTGGTCCATTTTCTGTTGCTATAACTGAGTATCTAATCCTAGGTAATATGTGAAGCAAAAAGGTCTCTTTGGCTCGTACTTTTGCTGGCTAGAAAGTCAGCATGGTGCTGGTGTCTGGAGATGGGCTATTGCATGGCAGAGGCCATGAGACATGAAGCAAGATACAAGAGATGGTCTAGGCTTTCTTTGACGACAACTCCTGAGACCCGTGAGGCAAGATTCAGTTCTCAATATCATCTCTTTTACATTAATTACATTAATCTCTTTTACAGAAAGCGGCCATAATTCATCTGCCTCCTATTAGGTTCCACCTCTCAGAGATCGCATCCTTACATCGGAGACCAAACTTCCAGTCCACAAACCTTACAGGAAAAAATCTACTCCAAACCATAGGAAAAGTACTTTCAAATAAACATTTAAAATAAACTTGAAGGTCAGCAAGATGATTCAGTGCTTGCCACCAAGTCTAGTGATCTGAGTTTCACACACACACACACACACACACACACACACTCACAGAGAGAGAGTAAAAACTAAATAAATACACTTAAGACTTTGGCATGGGAGTCATCTATCTGCATAGCCTAACTCTTTTTGGCAATGACTGAGAACGTGTTGCCTTTTCTCAACCAGGAACCTACTTTCTTCCTGTCAAGACATAAGTGCTCTGTGCCTCAGGAAGCTGGACATCAGGTGCCTTTTAATGCTTTTAAAACACTGCTTACTTAATCACATCTCAAGCGTTATAAGGCAACAAATCAGTGCCATTGTTAGCAGAACACATAAATAAAGTGTCTTTTTTAGAATAAAGTTCAAGGCATGGTTCTGTCTCAACAGTTTTAAGATGAAATTTGGAGTCTCTAAGCTTCTTCATCATTTAAACACAATTGTAATGAATAGATTTGGGGTGAGAGAAGATTCCGGGACTGCTGCCTCAAGTTCAGCTGACCACACCTACCTCCTCTTGTTAGTTTTACCCTTGAAACCTGTGCGATCAAGAGTCCTGTGAGGTAGCCATATTTAGGAGAAACTCAGCTCCCGAGGTCAGTGATAGGAACATTTCAGTGATGGAGAGAATAACCAGAAGAGACCCTTGTACTCTCTGGAGCTAAACACTTTCTTGGACATGTCTCCCAGACAAACTAATCCTGGGAAGCGATACACAAATCTTTCTCTTTCAGACACTGACCTCCAGCTGGTGCCCTTGTGGGTGATTCAGTGTTTCGGGAAGGCGCATCTCAGGTGATAGCCTGCATGCTGCTCCCTGTGGGTGCCAGGTTTCCAGGGAAAACACACCAGCTGGCCTGATCCAAGTGGAAAACAAGAAAATGCTAACACAAGTCTAACACGGGGTACAGAGGAATAGCCTTCCTGAATCACACATTTAAAGGGAAAAGAGCACGAGATGGGCGGTGCAGCCAGACACTCTCAGCTTGGCGGTGAGCTGGCGTCCTGAGTCACAGGAAACAAATCAGGGACCTTCACTATGTAAGCTCATATTCTGGAGCTACAGAAGCTGGGTGCCAGAAGGCTGACAGTGCCAAGCTCATCTAAGAAAACGGGTCAAACCATACTGCCTAGTGAGCACTGAAAGTAAGGTGTCCAGGCTCTGGATACAGCCATCGCTCACCTCCAATGTCACTATTACTTTCCAGGAGAGACAGGTCTGGAGATATTAATCTTCTGAATCTTTCCAGAAAGGCTACAAATCTGGGCTTCTGTTTATTTCTCTTCCTTTTTTCCTAATCCTAAGGATTGAACCCAGGACCTCCCACATGCCAGTCAAGTTATACTTTTAAAATCTCATTTAAAAAAATAAAACACAAAACACAGTGCTATCTGAAAAATAAGCACATCCATGTTCATCAGTTGGATGGTCCTCTATGCTGTTTGCTCAGATTGCTGCAGGTGTGCCTTTCATCTGGGCATTTGTTCTTCCCATAAATTCCATGGCCACCCTTTCCCGGAGACCTGTGGCCTTCCCATCTACAGTGGGACTGGTTGAAAACTACTCCGTTCCAGTGGGCCATGTGACCCAATCACATATGCAAAGAAAAGAGCAGACTATTTAAAACTGAGTTCATAAAAGGCTGTACTGTTTCCATGATCAAGCACAGGGCCCAGCATGAGCACACAGGCACACATGCACACACACACACACACACACACACACACACACACACACACCACCCTTCTAAATGGGTGCCTCTTGAGAGGTATAAGGCCACATCCATCTGCATAGTCAGAGACCTTTGTCTCATTTGAGCTGCCCTTCAGAAGAGGTTAAGAGAAGACACCCAGAACCTGAGAGTAAATGCTAACTTCTACCAGTTAACAAGTCAGAGGGAACACAGTCCCGACTGTACCAATGATATTCCCAACATGCAACACTAAGAGCCACGCCTCCTAGCTGTAAGGAACGTGCTGGTACTGTGGCCTCCTGTAGGCTGTCTAAACCCTACTCCTCCTTGATAGTTGAAGGGGCTGGGGTGGGGTTGAGAAACGTGCACTTGTGACGTGCACTGGGCAGCTGGTTCTAATGTAGGTAGTAGGTAGACTAGCCACATTCTGAGAGAGTTAGCGTCAGACACTGGATAAAAACACGTGCCGTGGGTAGAAGTAAGCACTTCAGCATGCACGAACACACACACACACACACACACACACACACACACACACACCAGGAAAACAGTTGCCTCTGTCAATCATCCTAGGAAAGGAGAGGGGAGGGGAGGGTATTAGAAAGCAGACAGGGAGGAAGGGAAGGAAAGGGGGACACATATCTTGGCACCATGTCCTGGTTAAATTGACTCTAAAGTTAACCACCACATCCTGCACTAATGACCAGTTCCAGTCATGCTGTTTAGGTGTTTCCTCAACAGGCTGCTAACACTGATGACTATTCTACAGTATGAGGGCAGAAAAAAGATACATTCGCTGCTGGGCTTCTTATGCAGAGATGTAGGGGGGCCACCAAGCCCCACTGTTCTCAGAATGGGATGCCACAGGGCCACGAGGGCCTGCGAGTTTGTACCCGGAACTGTAGGAATGGAGCAGGGGAAGGGAAGGCTCAAAGAGGCTGCATGACAGACAGGTGGGCAGAGACCTAAAGGCTGAACAAGTTCTGTCAGCCAAAAAGCACAGAGGAAGGGAGGCCGAGAACAGGGAAAGACTGTGCCTTATTTTGAGGAACCACGAGGAATTTAGGGTGTCCTGACAGTATGTGTGGTCGTCCAAGTGAGAATGACCCCCACAGGCTCATATGTTTGGACGCTTAGTCCCCAGTTGGTGGGACTGTTTGGGAAGGATTAGGTAATGTGGCCTAGTGGAGAGGGTGTGTCACTGGGGTAGGCTTTCAGGTTTCAAAAGCAGCTCCCAACTACTGCTCCAGTACCACGTCTGTCTGCCTGCTGCCACACCCCCTGAGCTGCCACACACTGCCCTTCACTCCAAGAGTAGATACAGGCCCTGCAGAAGACCAGACCTGTCCACATTTCAGCTCAAGCGTGCTGCCGCCCCTAGCAAGAGCTGGCTGGAGGCCCAGGGGTAACTGGCTGTGTTCAGTGAGCACCAGCCTCAAGAATCTTTCCAGCCTAGCCAGGAACCTGGATCCAAGCCCAGAGAGCGGCTACGCTAACCCTGCAGTGATATTCCAAGCTCTTTCAAGCTCCTGGGAGCCCAGCCATCAGCATGCCAAGTGCTCACGGGATGTCCCCTACATGGAACTCAGAGGAAAACTGGTCATCGTTTAGGGCTTCTGACTTGTGACGCAGTGTTTCAGTCTGGAAATATTTCTACTTCCCTCCTCCTTCAGCCTGCCAAGCGCTTCAGGCACATTTATCATAAAATACCAGCGCTCCCTAAGCAGAGTTATGAATCTAATGTTATGCCAACAAAAATGCCAGCCGGGCTGTTTGAAAACAGGACAAACTAACTATAATGTCTGTGTTGAAATATTATCAAGCAATAGTAACTCCCAATGTGGGGTAGAACCAGAATTTGACCCCCCAGGGAATGAAGCATATGGTAAGTTTTTTAGACCACATGAGAGAAGGGGGTTTGTCTAAAAATGTTAGGAAAATTGGACAGCAACCCTGAAGAAGGTGGGATTCAAACCTAGTCTTTCTCCAGCATAAATTCTAGGGATTTAAATGTAATAAATAAAACCACAAATGTGCAATTTTGTGAACTTGGAATGAAGAAAGCTTTTCTTTTTAAAAGAATGTCTACGTGCTTGTTTTCTGTGGGGAGAAGACTATAAGCCACCACGCACCTGTGGAGGTCAGAGGACAACTTGGTTCTCTCCTTCTGAGTTCTGGGGGTCGAAGTCAGGTCATTGGGCTTGCACAGTAAGTGCCTGTACCCTCAGAACCACCTTAATGCTCCCTTATAAAAGGCCTTTTAAAGTGGGACTCAAAACCCCCAAACAAAAGAATAAATGAATAACTTCAATTCCATAAGAATAAAATTTCACATTTTTTTTTACAAAATAGTAAATCACATCACAAGTTAAAAATACATGTGGAAAAGGGCCTTTTCAACTACATTTTTAATCAATACAAGACTCTCATAAATCAAATTTTTAAAAGAAAAAAACCCTAACAGCTAACACAGAAGAAAAGCAAAGGAAATGGAGAAAGCATCCTCAGAAAAGGATGTATAAGTGGTCCTTCAAGACAGGGAAAAAATGTTTTAACCTTACTCATAATAAGATCACTGCAAATTAAAAGAGATATTAAATCAGAGGTGGCATGATCTTTGAGGAGGATGTGGAAGAGACACTTGTCCCTGGACAGTGGCAGCATGAGTTAATAAAATGTTCATGTAACATCTTGACCTTATTTGTCAAACTCAAAGATCCACCTGTCTCTGCCTCCCAAGTTCTGGGATTAAAGGCGTGAGCTGCCACTGCACACCTGGCTGATTATATATATCTCAACAAAGCTGTTAGAAAAAAAATTCAGTTATGCTTACCCCTTAAACTATTTGAACAACTTAAAAATAAAATGGTTTCTTATACTTGTCTATATATATTGGCTTTGCAAATATGTCAGTGTCACAAATATATTACCAACATCCTGGTATGTGTAGTAGGTGTGAAAAGGTGTGTGCACTTGTGTAGGTAGATGGGTGTGTGTTGTATGTACAGAAATTCACACAGGTAAAAGTACACTTGAGGGACTATTCTTTCGTGGAAAAGCCAAGAGCAAGGTGAACAGGTAGAACAAAGAAGGACAGTCCCCTTTGACTCTGTGCAAGTCTACACTGCCTGAATGCTGGGCGGCACTAGGAAGACATGCAGCTTTATTTGTATACAAAAAAAAAATTAGTAAAAACAAAAAAAGAAAAGAAAAGGCAAAAATGAGCTCCTTTGGAGCTGGAGAAATGGCTCAGCAGCGAAGAGGGTTTACCACTCTTGTAGAGGA